AAGCCCTAAGCCCTAAACATTAAACCCCTAAACCCCGAACCGAGCCTTTGGTGTCCACCGCGTTGACATCTAAATCTGGGCGCTGGAGGAGCATTTGCAGCCTCTCCGCCTGGCCCATAGTTTGGGTGTAGGGTTTAGGGGTTTAGCCTAAACCCTAAACTCCCTAAACCCTCCATACCCAAAAAGCTGGACCTTAAACACGCTAAACCCTAAATCCTAAACCCTCCAAGCCCTAAAGCTAGACCTTCATCACGAAACTTGGTCAGCCCCCGAGAGGGCCTGCCCTTTCGCGATGGCTGTCTTCACACCCCTCTCCTCAGACGGATTAGGGTTTCGGGTTTAGGGTTTAGGCTTTTTAGAGATTCAAGCTGAGGCTTTTGGGTTTGGGGTTTTCAGGCTTTTTGGGTTTAGGTTTTAAAGGTTGTTTCGTTTCAGGGCTTAGGGTTCAGAGGCTTTTTGGGTTGAGGGTTTAGAGCTTCGGGTGTAGAGGTTGTTTGGGTTTAGGCTTTAGAAGCTTTTTGGGCTTCGGGCCTTCCCCTTAGCTTCTTCGAGATTGTAGGGAAAGGGGCGGACTTGGGATGCTGTGCGCGCCCAACCCAACCCAAGCTTCCAGATCCTGAGAACGAGGAGAGACCCATACCTGTTGAGTCAGAAACTTTCTGCCTTAAGCCACCGTGTCCCTTTATCAAGCAGTGTTTAGCTCGCTGATACATGGTATGGGATTTTAGTTCAGCGGTTCCGAGCTGATACCCTACTCCCTAAACCCTAAACCCTAAACCTTAGGCAGTCCCTCACTCGTTTTATCAGCTTACATGCGACCCTTTTAGCTTTAACGTCCAAGGGTTTAGGGTTTAGGGCCAAGATCGTACAAGTCTGCCGACACTAAATGCCAGGTGGGTGCTGGTGTCAGCAGGTTGAGAAGTGGGGCAAGGGCGAGGGTTTATGCTGAAGATGCTGGAGTGAATTTGAGTTCAAGAACCCCCATATCTCCAAACCGATAAAGGAGCCCTTAAAGGAACCCTACTTAGAGGTTCATGGGACTTAGTAACTTCGGTTATAAATAAGGTAACTAGACTTATAAGTACTTATAAGCCCAATTAGGGTACTTACAGCCTTGCTTACCAGGTACAATGATCCTCCAAGTAAACCCTAAACCCTTCAAGGAAGCCGTCAAGGAACCCTTACTTACGGGGTTCAACTTGGGTTCAAAACGTCAGGCGTCCAGGGACCTTTCCTTCGCCGACCCTTCATCCGACATTTCGGCTGGTTGCTCTGATGCAACTATATGGAGTACTACAGGGTTTAGGGTTTAGGGTTTAGGGTTGGTAAATACCAGGTTTACTAGAAGGGTACCTCTCGTACCGAGGGACCTTCAATAAGAACTGTATGCCCTCAACTCTGAACTCTAAACCTT